CACTTTCACTTTTGTATCAGTGCTAGGAGTTTGTTAGACGAGAAATTTGAGACTCCTCTTGTTGCACGCATTCATCATTTTTCCATTTACGGGGCTGATTGTGAAATTAACATTGCAGGTGGGGATTTCATCTGGTGCTGCGGCCGCTGCTGCAATAAAGTTGGCTAAGAGGCCGGAATATGCTGGAAAACTCATTGTTGTAAGTCGATTTTGCACTGTCCCTTTAGCTTACATGATCTATTCGCTTAAACTTGGCTTGGAATTGTAAATTCGTAATCAAATGCAATTCTTTCAAACAGACACTCCAGGAACTTATTCCATTTATTTGTTACTTGTGCAGGCTGTGTTCCCCAGTTTTGGAGAGCGTTATCTGTCTTCTGCACTTTTTGATTCCATTAGGCATGAGGCGGAAAACTTGAGTATTTGCTGAAAGTGTTGCTGAATCGGCCTTTTCTTAGTTTCCTAGCTCCTTGAAATAACACGAAAACTTTGCTCCAGTTTGAAATGAAAATATTTCTGGGACCTTTTACCAATGAACTAATAAACTCTGGTTGATGGCTTTCTTCTTGATAGCATCAGTAGTAGCAATGTTAAGAAAATCTGTGTTTGACCAAAAATGAATAGAAAGTTAAAGAAAAAGGAGTTCCCAGTAGTAGCAATGTTAGATTTTCTTGGTTTTTGTTGTTTGATTGTCAATTTCTATCCTGACAAAAACAGTACCTGACATAAACAATATCCAATAAAAATTGATTATACAATTAACGGATGTGAGTGGAGGATCTTCACAAAAAGAATCGAATGAGGATCCTCACAAAAAGAATCGAATGAGGATCCTCTTGTTTGAACTGATATCCCTTTCCTTATCTATTAAAACCCCTCACCTGTCCCACCAATACAACAACCAAAACATCTATTTCCATATATTTTGACTTTTGCAATATATATTTATGTAATCATTTTATATAAAACAACCAAAGCATCTATTTCCATCTATTTCCGTATATTTTGACATTTTGCAATATATATTTATATAAACATTATTGTATATTAATGCATATTTTTATTAACGTGTCCATGCCGTCTTATATCCTAATATTTAGAAAATAGTTGTATTGTTGTATTTGTGTCTCTATCCATGCTACATAGTTAGTACCAAAAGGATTTGGTTGTTTATATTTTTCCGGAACTTTTTACCCTTTTAAATTTCGTCCCCTAGACGATTTCTGGCTTCGCCACTAAGGGGGTGATTGAAAATTTAGGAATGCACTTATTTATTAAAGGCTAAATAGCTAAAATGGTCTATGAGATTTGCATAATCAATAGAAATAGTCATTGATTCAAAATCAATAGAAATTGTCTCTGAGATAATCCATCATCCATGATTTTGGTCATTCCATTAAAAACTCTTTGGGTAATTTTCAAAGCTTCGTAACTCAAGGGTGATTGAAAATTTAGGAATGTACTTATTTATTAAAGGCTAAATAGTCAAAATGGTCCATGAGATTTGCATAATCAATAGAAATGGTCACTGAGATTCAAAATCAATAGAAATGGTCTCTGAGATTGTCCATCATCCATGATTTTGGTCATTCCATTAAAAACTCTTAGGGCAATTGTCAAAACTTCGTAACTTAATCATTTCACAACCAAATTCGACCCATAATATATTAACATGAAGATAGGAAAGTGTAAAACAAGATTATATATATTTGGAAGCTCAATGGTTGCTGAATATGGCTGGAAAATAGTCTGAAATGTGACTGGTCCACTGGAAAACTGAAAAACTCGCTGGAAACTGGGTAAACTTTAAACATTCATAACTTCTTCAATACTCAACGAAATCGAGTGATTCAAAAACCAAAATCATACTTCTCGACAAGATGAAGAGTTTTTAATGGAATGACCAAAATCATGGATGGTGGACAATCTCAGAGACTATTTCTATTGATTTTCAATCTTAGGGACCATTTCTATTGATTTTCAATCTTAGGGACCATTTCTATTAATTATGCAAATCTCAATGACCATTTTAGCTATTTAGCATTTATTAAATATAGTTTAACATAGTAGTCGGTTTCTTATGTATGCAATTAGGATTAAATAAATGTGGAAGGGTCTAACTGTAAACTATAGTGGTTGTTGATTATTTGAAACCAAAAGTGTATTTTATGGTTTGGAAATGAAATTTGAATTTATTATCCGCCATCTCAGTTCTTATGTCAAGAGTTTTGACATCTTTGGGAGAACATAGTGTTGGTTCATTTAATTTTCCCAACACATAGTTTTAATGGCATTTGGTATATGCATTTGCCAATTATGTGTAGTTGATTAAGTTCTTTAATTTTAGTATAACCTTGCTAAATCCTAATCATAAATGCACTTTGGATGTAAGAGTAATGATGTGATACTTTCTAGGGAATTTTTATTTGGACCTAGCTATCCTCTTTTCACACCAAACTTTAATATTTTTGCACCTAAATTCTCAATTTTACCCTTAGAAAAAACTAAAAGGGCAAAAATGAAAAAAAAAAAAAAAAAACCTAACCAACCCCCCCCCGCGACAACAACACTGTTTCCGGCAACTCTCCTCCCATCGCCGTCGAATCTGCCATCAGCGCCATCGTTTCTCTTCCTCTTTCACTTCTTCCTCTTCCTTCTCTCTTGTTTCTCAATTTTCGTCTCAGATTTGAATCCTAATGATTGAAAGGATCAAATCTCGCCCTGGTGATTTTGGCCTTAAGTTCTTCATCGTGACGATGGGGGTTGGAACCGCCACTTTAGACCAAACCTTGGCGGTGATGGAGCTTGCTGCTAATGAGGTGGAACTAAGCGTCCTTGTTGGCGAACGCCGTGAACGACTAGCCGTCGGAGAAAGTAAGTTAAAGACATAATCAAATGTGTAAGCGCTGGGATCAAGTCCAACGTAACTTTTGTTAGCGGGAGAAGGCGGCAAAGCTAAAATTGAGAGGGAGGCAAGTGGTGGTGGTTTGGGTGGTGGTGCAATGTCAAGTTGGGGATGGGTTTCAGCCGTTAGGCTGAAAATGGGTGTAGAAAGATTATTTCGTATAAGGGTAAAATGCGAATTATGAAGAATAATTTTTGTTTGGGTTGTGATATCCGCACACCCCATTTTACTTCTCACACACCCTTCTAATTTTTGACCATTGGATCGGATTAATTGAAGAAGATCAACGGACAAAAATTAACAAGGGGTGTGAGAAGTAATTTGGGGTGTGTGGATAGCACACCCCTTTTTGTTAATGGGTGTAGAAAGACATATTCTGGGTCTAAATAAAACTACTCTACTTTCTAATAGCCCGTTTACTAATTCTTAATTATAAGAGGAATTGAACTGATGATGAGTTAGATTGGTGTAGAATCAGAATCAAATTCTGGTTGAAATTGTTTACTATTTTTGTGGCCACGAGCAGAGCTGGCGGAAACACAGAATGATGAAAACGAAAAACACTCACTCGACGGTGAGAAAGCTCTCACAGGAGGAGAGAAAGCCTCGAGAATTGGAAGTCTACCCATCTAATTTGATCGTATCTTTTTTATTTTTATTTTTTTATTTTTTTTACATTTTATCAAAGATACTTCTTCATAAACAGGCAAAAGGAATACAAGATTAGGAGAAAATTTTCATTGTGATGGGAATATGAGTGGTACATCACGTGTTTTTATGTAAGTGATGAGAAATTTTATTTTTTAAGTTATTAACTTTTTAATACACATATCCCACAATTTGTATAATGACACATGGTGTACCACCCTGTGTGCCGATCACACTAAAAAATTACTCTAGGTCAGCTGCCAACTGCAGGACCATATAAAGAAGAAACTAAAATACAGATAGGCAAGAAACTTAAGGCCAGATAAAGAAGACCACCAACATAGCTGTGTTGTTGACCTTAAGAACCAAGCAACCACAAAAATCAGTGTGGGCAGGCGAGGCCATCCATGGACATGAAATAAACTAGAGCATATGGGGGTCAGGAAACCCAAACTTCCAGAATTATCCATCTTTTACAATGCGAGAAAACACCAAATTTTCGGACACACGAGAAAATATGTCTGCGCGTTGGTGCGGGAACTTGTTGTTTCAAGTGTAATCGGATGAATAAAACACGTTTAAGTTGAATAAATTCAACACAATTATGAACAAAGTCTTTTTTATATACATTCAAGTGAGCTGGCATATAAACACATTGTACAATTTGTGGGAAAAACTAAACGTCTTTGATTAGAAAGAGATGGTTTCCAAAAAAAAAAAAAGCATTAGTTCACACAAAATTTCGGTTACCAAATCCAAAAAAAACCAAAAACAAAAATGTGACTCTCTATATGGCTTTCTTACTACACAAAAATATTCCTTAGTTAAAGCATGCCACACATCATATGCCACACATCATCACATTGCTATTATATGAAGTATATTCCTCAGTGGCAAGCAATATACTCTCCTTAGCATGACCTCTCAATCCCCTCTCTTTATCTCCCTAGAATCGTACAACCCATAAAGACAGTGCATAGACATACGCTCACACACTGAAGAATGAACGCATTATATTTAGTTGGCACCGTTCAACTTTAAAAGCAGTGAGACCTTCCAAAGGCACAGCCTAACTGGCCTTGGTTCAAATAACCAAATTGAGAACAACAATTGAATTTTAGAAAAGCTGTACAGAGGGGAAAAAAAAGAAAAAACAATCCTATCACAACTGAAAAACAAAATCAAAATGAACTGAATAAAATTTCAGCAGAGCTTGAACACTAACATCCTTTGAAAACATGTGTTGGTTACGTATAATATATATGCGCATAAATTAAGAAAATGACTTGAGTGCCCTAGCAGTAGTCTTTACGTTGAACCAAATCACTATTAGGTTAAATGTATTGATTCACGCATCTTCTTTTATGTGCTAAATATCTACTAAATTGCCCTACGAAAATGACATAAAACAACTTTTAAAAGTGACAATATATGCAGCACCAGGATGTTGCAGAACTCACTGCCCCAATTTAAGATTCAGTTTTTGTCCAATGTATGTATAAGCTTAGATACATCTGAGAATTTGCTTTTCAACAGTTGTTACTCTCATCTTCTTTTGAGAGAGATAGATACAAGGGTTAAGATTACAATGGGGAAGAGTTAAGAATCCCTCTAAAATACTAAAGAAAAACATACCTAGAATGGAGTAAACAACTATTTGTCTCCATGTCAGTTTCTCATAGCATTTATGCTGTTAGAAAGATAGTGCTCCACTCCAGAAGGATGGACAAATTTACCAGATGGAGACTGACCCAAAGAAAACATAATTAAAAGTTAGCATCTGACGAACAATTAAGGTGATGCAAAAGAGCAACACGTGATGTGAAATTATTATACCAAAATATCTAAGGTCTGTTAATCCAATCACCCAATAAAACAGAACTGAAATTAAGCACAATAATATCAAAATTAAAAGGAAGGAATAATATGAAACATTGTGCATAGAACGTTCGTGAGAATGAATCACACAACAATCAAGGATGGACAAATCACAAAAGTGACAATTAAAGGGCACCTAACAGACACCCCCATCTCTCTCTCTCTGCAATCGCAGAAATCCCTCGGGTTTCAGGAAGAAATGGAAAACGAAATGCTTTTCCATCCCCTACCTATACCCATACCTCCCTTACCCGTTCCCTTTACCCTCACAGAAAATCCTCCCATCTCTCTTTCTCACCCTTGTCCCATCTGTCTGTCTGCAAATTGCAAAAAAGAAACCCTAAACAAATCCCTGAAATCCCTCACCTAAATCCCCTCACATTTCTTTCAGAACACCCCCCTCTCTTTCTCTCTGCAAAACCTAAACCAGATCTCCTAGATCCTATCTCAAACACCCGACATACAACCAAGAAGCCAAGATATTAAAGCAATCTCTACATAATACTTTGGAACAATGAAGCAAAATGGTTCTTGTTTCTTGTCCAAAACCGTTGGTGCTGCCGCACATTGTTATCAGTTAAGGGTTTATCAAAACCCACCCAAAAATTACCTTCATAAAAAATGCCACCACAAACCTATTAAGCCCAGTCAATCAAGAACCTACTTGATTAATTTCAACTCAGCAGATAGTCTAGGTTTTTTGTTTTTTATGCAGTAATTATAGAGCAAATGGATAAAATTATTGACTATTTATACACTATTGTTGTTTCATAAGCTTCTCATTTTCTTAGTATCAAGCTCTCTTTGTGGGCAAAAATTATAATAATAATAATAACAATACTAATTCAATAAGTAATGGAGATTACCAAGGAAATGAGTTTTAGGTTCTGAATGGTTTACCGATTCCCATCCATTTGGTGTGAAGACTTTCTTTGTTTTATGTTAGTTGACGCACAAACTCTCACAAATGGTGTTTCAACAACCGACCTTGCTCCTAACAAACTGCAAGAACAGAAATTGCATTATATGAAAATAGTTGAAAATTATTCTTTTAATCGTAAATCATAAAGTTCGAAACTTTCAATCAAAATAATTCAGAACCTCAAACTGAGAACAAAACTTCTACATTGATAATAACAACCCCGAACAATGAACGAAACATTGAACCGAAATCAAATCATGTGATACCTTTTCAGGTGATGCCCCTTATCAGATCAGATTATGTACCCAAGAATGGACTGAAAACAAAGCACTCATCAGTGTAGTACATTACACAAAATTCCATTTAATTCTTCACCAAAAAAAAAAACAACACATTTAAATAACAAAATATAAAAAAATCCAAGAAAGTAAGTTCATAACCAACAACCAATCATCAAGAACAAACCCCATCAAGCCCAAACCCAAATACAAACGCCACTAACATAATCACCCAAAATTCACTACAGTAAACACAAAACCCACCAAAAAATTACCTTCATAAAAAATGCCACCAAAAACCTATTAAGCCCAGTCAATAAAGAACCTATTTGACGAATTTCAACTTAGCAAATAGTTAGATTATTGCCCATTAAACAGGTAGATCAAAGTAAGAGTATATCCAGTTAATATTACAGTACAAATTTTGCATCCCAAGGAAAAATACCAAATTCAACCTCAACCAATAAAATAGCATTAAGGAATGTGAATTTTCAACTATTTTGACCAAATAAACAACTTTCCATTCTAATTTCATCAATTTCTCGGTAAATTAAAAAGGCAAAAACATATAATTAGAAGCCAATTCAACAATTAACAAAAAAGTTACAAAAATTAACTCAAATTCGGTAGCACAGCCTGCTATAAAGTAGAGGAAGTGTATGAGTAATGGATGTCCAGGGTTGGTCCTTATGCAGAAGGAAGCATAGGAAGCATAAATGGGATATCAAGTGAGGATCTCAAGTAAATTTGCAACAACACAAAACCCAACCAGCAACAATTTGTTCATTACATCTTAAAACACAAAATTTTGTCCGAAAAATAAGACATTTAATGCAGAAAGCTCAAAACTTTGCCTCTCAAAACTAACATCTGAGAGAGCATTGCACTTCTTATCTTTAAAAGCATGAATGGTGAACTAAACAAAAGAATTAAGAATCTACAATGAACTAAATAAAAACACACTTTTTACAAACATATTCGCACAAAAATTAAAACTGTATTGAGAAACTCACCATTTTGACAAAAAAAAAATTATACCAGTAACTGAACACAATAATAAATGATTTTAGGATACTTGTTCACTAATATAAATTTGCAAGTTTAAGAGACAATGACAACCTGAATCCTTAAAAAGGTTATTTACACCTAAAATGAAACAGACATATCCAAAGGACATAACATAGTGATCTTTTGTGAGTTTAATATCCGGACTGGAGTTTTTAATTTTATGTGGTGTTTGCTGTTCTGATCTGCCCTTTGTAGGGGTTGTGGTTGGGTTGTTCCAGGGAGGTATGTTAGACTGTTTACTGGCCCGGAACAGATGTTAAAATGATGGTGCCTTCCTTAAGAAGAGATAAGACCATATCGCATGACAACTTTTAAAATATACGGGTTCATATAACATAGAAAAATGAACAAATAAATGCACACCCAAACTACATGTGCCAGTCAAATTAAAGGATGACTTCTTGCTGAGAACAAAAGTATAAAAAAAATGAATACTTTACCTGCATATATCGCACGACAGTGCTAGTATAATCAACTGCTTTCCTCTGTGTAAGCTTTCTCATCTTTTATCCAAGAAAAGTGTCAGCATGAGCTGCAACAAACAAACAATTTGTCACTCATTATAAAAAAAAAGGGAAACTATATTAAATTCTGCACTAAACCTCTCAAAAAAATTAAACCACTATTTTCAAATATCATTTACACCCTTGGCCTCACTGCCCTACCCTTTTAAATTGCAAATCTCAATAACTTCAAGATCTAAAACCAATTCTAAAGGTTTAATGCGCTTTAAAGTTGAAAATCCCAGTCAACAAAAGAAGTATAATGCAACCAAATTCTTGTTTAGGTACTTCCCCACAATTCAATTGTTTTCTTTTATTCTCCATTAATTTCCAACCGAAACCGAAAAGAACCAGAACAAAATAGCAAAGACAAAGGCATAATTTGGTACAAACCATCATAAGGAGGAAGAGGATGAGCAAGCACAGGTGGGTTGTGATACTTCGGGGGGCATACCGACGGCTGATGCATCATTGGGGCCGGTGGTGCCCAGGGGGGGATATGAAATTCTCCGCCCTGCTGTTGACGCTACTGGTGTTGCAAATGTTGCTGCTGATGTTGAGGGTGTTGCCGCTGATGTTGAGGGTGTTGCTGCTGATGTTGCGGGTGCTGTTGTTTGTGGTGTTGTGGATCAGGGTACATCATTGTCACCCCAAATCAAAGTACTATGAGGAAGAGAGAAAGAAAGAAAAAAAAAAAACCAAAACCCTAGGATTAGAGAACTGAGAAGTGGAAAGTTGCACCAATTTAAACGCCTTCTGCCAAGCTAAAAATTGAATTCAATTTGCAAAAGTAGTCACACTGGCTATGAATTCAAGTCAAAGAGGGCCTAAAGAGTGAAATTTAGAGTTTCAACACAACATGGCCTTCTCATAGATATGGTTTCTTTTCATGATTTGAGAGAAAAACCCATCAATCGATTGACAGACTTGAACAATTAGAAAGTAGTAAAGCATGTAAAAAGCATAAGATTTAAAGCTGTTATGGATCCATATTTCACTAAAGACCACACACGCAGAAACAACCCCCCCTTTTTTCCTTGAAATCCTACGCCCACCCCTGTGACTGTGCAAACCATGCAAACCTCTTTGTGACACCGACATCACCTCTCCCCCCTTCAATTAAATGCATGAACATCATACAGTGAATTACACATAAAGTACAACATTATCAAGTATACCTCAAGGCGACATTGGATACAATCATTTTCAAGTCTTCATCTCTGACACCAAGAGCACTCATTCGTTATACATTTCTTTATTAACTGATCAGCTAACTGAATTTAAAATTAGCTTCCAAACCAAAAAAGTTCTGAACTTTTAATTCTACAATCATATTGAGTTCTTCATCTCTTACTCTAAATCCCAATTACAGAAAGACCTAAACTTTACTCAATTTAATATTGCTTTCCCCCAAAACAGCACAATCCCACAAAAATAAGGTTAAAATAAAAACAACAATAAATCATGAATTAAATTAAATTTCTCACCTCCACCTCTAGTAGAGCTTTCACATTCTTAACCTATCACCAAAAAAAAAAAAAAAAATCAAATTCAAGTAAAAAAAATAAAGGAGAACTTGAACTTCCAAATTAATTGAAAGAACTATAAAATCAATTGGGGGTTTCTACTGAAGTGAAAAGTAAGGGTTTTACAATCTCATAAGGATCGATGTCTAAGGAGAGGATCTGTTCATCTCCGTTCATCACTATGATCTTATCTTCTTCAATTCGTCGCTGCGATTGGATCTCCAATCACACACACACACACACACACACAAAATATACCCAATAACCCAAAAGCTAGAAACTAAAACCTAATCACCCAAAATCCCCAATCCTCAACCAAAAACATAATCAGTCACATATACTACATACTGAATCAAATGCGGAAACTCAAATCAAACGCCTTCAATTGCCTAAAGTTTCAAAATTCAATCATTTTGTCGAGCCTAAATTTGAAAAATTACAATCCCCTCTTGACTAACTCCATCCAAAGATTCGAAATACCAGAAAGCAAATAATTGTACTAAAAATTAAGTAAATTAAGTATAAATTAAAATCAACTTAACAAAAAAACAACAAAGCTACCAATCACAATAGGAATTCTGCAACTACACACTATTTACAGTGCTATGCAAAACTCATATTTGAATGAGGGCCTTTACTATTGAATTGAAAGATGGCTGTTCTTTTTTTAAATTAGGATGATCTCACCAATCAAAATTACAGCGCTGTGCAAAACTAATATTCATAATCTATACCAGCTCTAGCTTGCCTCCACCCGTAACAGCTCTGGTATGAGAAATACAGCGCAATTAGGATAGAGGAAACCCAAATAATGGAAATTCAAGAAATTCAACATACCATAAGATTCTTTCTGACGGCCAAATTCATCGACAACGGAGGCAATTGTTGACCGTCACTGTACCTCCAATTCGCGCCTGCCATGTTTGAGGCTTTCAACCGTCACTACTTGGTTTGTGGGCTTCACATCAAAAGATAAAGGGCCTTATCAAAACAGATCCCACTAACCTCCCTATTTAAAAACAGAACGTGATTTAGGTGATTAAAACTCATTTGAACAATCAGCAAAACTTGAGTGAAAACAATTAACTAATTAACCACTTGCACCCTGCTCACAATGAAAAGCAATTTCAAATCAACAACCATATGAATCCAGATTCATTAACAGGGATGCTTGGCTGATAAGAATCCAGGGCACAGATGAAACCTTGCTAAACTTGGCATTTCGTCATTCAAACAATTGAATGAAAGAACAAAATTATGTCCAATCATTCACAAACAACCACTTTTGCCATAATTTTGTTCTTTCATTCAATTGTTTGAATGACCACATGCCAAGTTTGGCACGGTTTCATCTGTGCCCTAGATTCTTGTAAAACACGAAGTTTAAAGAAACATGAAGCTTTAAAGTAACAGAGGCATAAATGAAAAACCTTGGAATAAACTTAACTTAAATGTAAAATGGCAATTGGGTTAACAAATCTTGGAATAAAACTAAATCACAAAATGAAAAGCACCTCCAATAAATTGACATTTTATACTTTTGGCTGGCCAAAAAATATCTATCTTTGCTGGAATATGCAAATAAAAATGCAAATTGACAAAAACATTGAAATTGAAATGCATAGAAGCAAAGCAAATTACAAAACCTTAAACCAAATGACAGCTTGGAAATGGAAGCAAATGTGTGAACTGTTTTTAATCATTTAGGTTTAAATGATTGGCAAAAGAAAGAGCCATTCTTTGAATCAACATGATAAAAAACAGAACATGATTTAGGTGTTCAAATAACCAAAACTGAGAAAAACAAATTACGAAAAAAATTGAGAAAAACAATTAAATTTAAATGCACAGAACAAAACAAATTGAGAAAAACACTTAAATTGAGAAAACTCTTAAATTTCTTTATGCACAGAAGTAAAGCCAAGCATAAAACGTCAAACCAAATCACAGCCTGTAAATGTCAGAGCTTCAAAGCATAGATATACTCTAAATCAAATATAATTAAAGCTAATCAAACGAAATTAAAGCTTATTAAAACAAATAAGAACTTGGAAATAGAAAAGCAGCATAATAAAAAAAACGAAAAAGCAAAGATTGAAGATGGAAAAGGAACCTGCAATTAGGTTCTCGAGACGCAAAGAGACCAAGAGAACGAAAAAATACAATGCAAGAAACCCTAATTTATTAGAAAAAATCATGAACAGTTAAAACCTAGGTTTATTCAAACAGTAATCTAGGAATTGAAAGAAGGCTTACATTTTGAATCGAAGGGAAACCAGCAACAAAAGGCTTCAATCACTACCTTTGTATGTTCGATTGATCAGTAAAATACACAGAATAAGAGTTACATCACATAGCAATAAATTAGAGAGAATTCGAAGACAAAAGGAGATTGAAATGTGTAAACCTCACAAACATCACAAACCCTAGAATTCTTGCCGACCAAAATCACAATTTCGAATCTGAAGCTGCATGATATGAATAGAGTTTGTAAACCTAATCCTAAAGCACAAAAGATTTGAAACAACCCTAGGTAGAGCTTTCGAAACCAACCCCCTTTCTCTCCCTCGAATCGTACACCCCCTGTGACTCTGTCTGCCTGCAAGCCACATGCCTTCCTCTCACCAAATCTCTATCTCTCTCCCTCCCTGTCTCTCTTCTCTCTCTGCTCGCTCGCTTTCTCTCTCCCGACGGCATGCTGTCCCCGAGTCCCACTGCAGCTCATCAGAAAGAAAGGAAATGAAAGTCTCTAACCCACCCATCCCGTTCGAAACCCTACAGACTAAAATGACCATCGCACCCCTGCCTTTCCATGATTATAACACGCAGCATGAAGATCAGCAGCAGAGAGAGCCAGTGGCATCCTCGTAAATAAAGTGAAATTGGGGTCCAAAAACAATGAACAGTAAAGAACAGTGCCAATTGGAATGCTTTCTTTAGACTAAAGTAATTCCTCTTTTATAATTTGATCTTATCTAATTCGACCATATCTTCTTTGTCAGTAGTGTATTTAAACTCTGCAATGTGAAAGCATTAGTGTTTTTCTCAGCACGTTATCCCCTGGACCACACTCTAATTTGGGCTTATCATATAAGTTTTTTCTTATCCTAGTAAACATGACAAGTTTCTGTCCCCTCAAGCTGCCCTGGTAACTTTTTTTTCTTCCACTTTCTTCTTTTCCCTCCGCCCTTTGTTCAAATTTCCCATTGTTTTACACTCTTGGGTCAACAATTGGATGTTAGCTTGAATTATTATCCAACGAATAAGAGACTTGAAGTTTAATTGATTAACACGCATGACACAACGCTTCCTCTTAAGTTGATCTGGTGATTTTTTCCTTTTACTTCTTCTGCTTCCCTCCATTTTTCGCTCTTGTTTCTCGTTAGAGACCACTTAAAAAATACTGAACAAACAAGAGACTTGTAGCTGAAACAGTTAACAATAATTAATTATGCACTTGAAGTCCAACGTTCGATTTTCGCTAAATGAAAATTCTTTGTCACTTTCAAGATTCAAATATACCTACAGAGGAAGAAATGTTCCTTAAACGAAACAGAACAAGGACAACGGGACAACCTTCGTGAAACTTAACCAACAAACGAATAAATAAATAAGTAAATAAATAAGGAGTATGATTATTTCCCCTCTTTTTTTCATCTCCTTCTTCTCACATTATCTATTTTGTCTTTCTCTTTTTATAAAAAAATAATATAAGATGTTGACGTGGCTTAATTGTGACCGTTCAAATAGGAGGAGAGGGAAGGAGAAGGAACAAAAAAGGAGAGAGAATCATACTTCAATAAATAAACGCAGAAGTGCCTTTATGGAAGTGCAAGGAGACATTTTCCAAAAAATTCCAATACAATTTTCTTTCTTTCTTCTATATCTCGGCCTGCAAAAGATAAGGTTGGTATTTATTTCGAGTTTCACATGATTTATTAATATTTAATGACATAATTGAATTGTTCGTTGCTTATTAGCATTTGGGTGCAAAATATATTGCTTGAAATCTTGAAAATCTGCTGCTCAATATGTTAGTGTGTAAATTATGATCTGATGTGGCAGTTGCAATTCCAGCTCATATTGCTAGGATGTTTAGCTAAATTGGTTGTATGCTTATTTATTTAAGTCTCATAGGTCTTAAGTAAGTAGACATGTGTTTTCATCTCATAGGGTGTAAGATGGAAGGCTGAGATTGTTTTGATGTAATTTGAATACTACCAAAAGAGTGCAACGATTAGAAGTGAGTGGAATTCCCTTCATCTCTCAGATAAATGAAATGGTGAATGTGTGAAGAATATTCAGAGTCATATTCATTTAAAAATAGCTCAAAACCCATGATATCTCATGGTTTTCATTTATCAGAAAATAAGAATATTTTAAACACATTACATAAATAATTCACCTCAATAATTCAAGCTTTGGCAAGGCAACTCAACTAACATCTCCACAAACCTCAAACCCTAGCTCGCTATCTCTCTCTATACCTATATAATATATATACACACACACGTACATACATATATATACATAGATATATACTAATGTACATCACCCCTACGTAATGCATGCATTGCATGCTTCTGTGGTTTCAAAAGAATGGAGCCCTTGCTCCTGTTTATTGGGGATTGGAGTCGGTTATAATTAACGTTAAATGCATGACTAAGCCTTTCAATGAAGTGGTGGCAATAGAATGTAAGAAATCATCTAGGATATTGACAGCTACAGCCTACATGCAAGACGTGTTCTACTTAAGTTGGAGGTGTCATGAACACGGGTTGCCAAGTATAAGAGTCATCAAATTGTAGGTGCAGGTGTCAAATGCAGGGATTAAGCATGCAACACGTATAAGCTAGTAGCTGCATACGATCATCACAATAGAGTGCACAATAAGCACTCGTAATGATTGCTGAAGTGATGAGAAGGATGAAATGGAGGTGGTGCTGTCAGTTTGCATGAAGTGAGAAGAGCAGGTGTTGCATTCGTAGGAATGCTTGAGGTAGATTGACAGGTGGTATAGTAAAAATAGGAATTGGATCCCCTCCGAGGCAAACCCTCGGGATCTTCTTGGAGTGAAATCAGTTCACATTTTAAAAGGGGCAGTTAGTGTGTAAATTGTGATCTGATGTGGCAGTTGCATTTCCAGCTTATATTGCTAGGATGTTTAGCTAAATTAATTGGTTGTATGCTTATTTGTTTAAGTCTCATAGGTCTTACGTACGTAAGTTGATATGTGTCTTCTTCTCATAGGGTGTAAGATGGAAGGCTGGGAGTGTTTTGATGTAATTTGAATACTGCAAAAGAGTGCAACGGTTAGAAGTGAGCGGAATTCCCTTCCTCTCTCAGACAAATGAAATGGTTCTCTGTTCTCTCTCTCCCTCTACTATCATCTCTTCCATTTTCGTACTGTAATTTCTTCTATTCTCTGAGGAAATCTGTGTAGTCATGGCTCACAGTTGCATAGCTTACTCGAACACTAACAAAATATTGGACAAATTCCAGAATTATTATTCTGTTCTTTTTGCTCTGTTTATGGTAGTTAACTGATTTTTTTTTCATAATTTTTATTGGTTCTTCAAAATTTAGGTTGGGAACTTTTGGTGTTCTTTTGTGTAAACATTCTTGTTAAATACTTGATATTTTTGTTTGTTCTCTATTTATTTTCTGCATATTTTGGGGTCTTCTGGTTTTGATTCTGTTGACTATTTCAAGTGATTTTCTAAGAGGATGAAAAGATTAAGCGTTTTCGGGTTTTCTGGTTGCTTTTGTTTTGTTGAACGTTTGAATCTGTTTTCCCTTCTTTCACAGCTTGCTGCAACACAAGATAAATATGGAAGTCAAATTTGCAATCAAGAACGATGTCACCGAAGTAAGATTTTTCCTCACGAAAGTCAAGCATTCTATTTTGACTTTGATTTGTTTTTAGTTTTCCTTTGTTTGTAGGGAACTTTAACGAAAAGCTTCCGGTACTATTCACTTTAACAAAAAATCATATTTTTACACTAAAAATTCTACCTGGTACTATTCACTTTACCCTTTATTTTGTCATTTTCATTAAAATTCAAAGTTTTCAAACTCTTTTCATTATTTTTCTTTGTTTTGATATGTTGATTTGGCTTACGATGCGCTCTCGTTGTACTCTTGGTTCTTGCAGCTGATTGGAAACACCCCGTTGGTATATCTCAACAATGTCGTGGATGGTTGCGTAGCACGAATTGCTGCCAAGCTAGAGTCAATGGAGCCCTGCTCAAGTGTAAAAGACAGGCATATTCTTTGCAATTTTTTCCTTGGGAATATTAATTTTCGTTTTCTCCTAGAACGACAGCAAATAAAAACTCAACATTGATATACACGTTTGATCTTAAATTTGTATATGCAGGATTGCATATAGTATGATCAAGGACGCCGAGGATAAAGGTCTAATTACGCCAGGGAAGGTTAGCTATAAATCTTTAGGAAAACTAATGAAAAGGGTATCTGTAGATGTTTTTTCAGCATGTAATGGAGATTTTACAAGTTTAATCATCGTTCAATATAGTTAATACTTATAAGGAATGAGCCTCGCTCCACCCCCACCCCGCCATTGTTCTTATTGCTGTGGCTGGATCACTTTTCTCTGTATCCAAAATATTTTCAAGTAGAATTCCGCTAACAAAATCTATACATAAATTTTCTCTTTTGTTTCTGTTCTTTTGTGGATAACAAGCTTGACTATGTAAGGGAGTTTCCACTTACATGATCGAGAATGTGGCGTGGCGTGGCGTGTTTCATGTTTCAACGAACTAACTTCCCTTGGTTCTTAACATGCATGATCTTCGGGAACTGAAGACTGTTCTCATTGAGGCCACGGGTGGCAACACCGGCATTGGATTGGCATTCATTGCAGCAAGCAGGGGCTACAAGGTTAAGGTAACCATGCCATCTTCAATGAGTATTGAGAGAAGAATTGTGCTCCTAGCTTTCGGGGCTGAGGTGTACCTCACAGATCCTGCCAAGGGTACTAAGGGAGTCTTTGATAAAGCCGAGGAATTATTGAGTGACACGCCTAATGGTTATATACTTGGCCAATTTGAAAATCCTGCCAATCCGAAGGTAACTTTTGGAGTGACTGTGACATGTCTAGATGGTTGAGAGAGTTTATGAATCGATATGTGACCGTTGGTGTAGATTCATTATGAAACCACTGGCCCGGAGATATGGAGAGACACAGGAGGGAAGGTTGATGCCCTGGTTTCGGGAATAGGTACTGGGGGTACAGTTGCCGGTGCAGGGACATTCCTTAAAGAGCAGAATCCAGAGATTAAGGTTGAATTTTGTTTGTATTATATATACGGATATCACACGAGTACGTGAGGAGAAAAGTTAGTAATAAGCATTTTCTTTTGTCTAGGTGTACGGTGTAGAACCAGCCGAAAGCCCAGTCTTGAACGGTGGCCAAGCTGGTGAGTTACTATGATGCTGGTGTTTTCCTCGTCTCCGGCTCTCTGCACTATTGCTTTCTTTGCTCGTGAATATTTTTTCTTGTAGAACATATTACAACAGAACGTGAAGAGGATGCTAGGTTTTTCGGGTTAGCTTTTTGTCTTGCAGAATAGAGCAAAACATGAGTAATGTTTCTTCGTCGTTAGAATGTTAAACAATTTGCAAAGTATTGCATTATAGTTTGATTCGTTTAAGTGGCCCATCTGTGGTTCAGTTTCTGTAGTATGAAATTACCGTTCCATAGTATTTGAGATTTTGTCCTCCTATATTGACTGATGTGTATGTGGATTTGTAATATGTCTCGCTCGTGTCAAAGGGAAGCATCTGATCCAAGGAATTGGTGCTGCACTATTGCTTCTTTGCTCGTGAAATTCTTTTTCTTGTTGAACATATTACAACCGAACATGAAGAAGATGCTAGGTTTTTCGGGTTAGCTATTTGTCTTGCAGAATGGAGCGAA